ATTCGACACATGTTATATACGCTAAAAGAAGCTTTCGAATAGTTTAAGCTAAACAATGCAGATTTTAAATTAAGCCTGTCAAACATTTTGTCAGTTGAGACCAATTTACGTTCGATGTGTATCATTAATTCCTCATAATGTATGCGTTTGCATGTTACATGAAAATATGCGTTATGCTCTTGAATCACTTTCGCGGGGTTCAGATATATTCACTACAATTAAAACGGGAAACTCTATGGTTCTAAACTTTATTTGTGAAAAACCAATAAAACAATGTTTCAATGCCGTTTGAAAGAAATGTACTGTTTGTAATATGTTTGATAAATTATTACTTCAGTTCGAACAATTATAAAAAAACATTCAATTAAAATGCACTGGCATTTTTTTGTTGCAATGCATGGAAAAGGAATTGTGAATGGAGTTGGAGCCACTGTAAAACGTATTGCCAGAAAAAATGTTTTAGCTGAAAAATAAATATTATCTAGCGATAGCGATTTGGCAGCCGCTACAAATAATTTAAAAACTATTGTTGTATTACAGAGTGATAAAGAAAAGCTAGAGATAAACTCTCTTGGTTAGAGATAAACTCTCTTGGTTTGAGAACTTTTTTTAAGAAAACAAAAAAAATTAAGGTGTAAGACCCCTCAAAATTCCTAAAAAATTCAAAAAAAATAATTTGTGTATTTCTTACACGAAATTTATCGCTGAATCCGAATTTGAAAACATTTTTTAAAAATAAGGCTTAGTTCTTGAGATATAAAAGGTTTCCTTCAACTGGGTAAATTTGATCTGCTTAGCAACACGCATAGCAACGGGTTTTTTATAAGAATTGCCAGCTATTTAGTTATTTTTGTGTTATTTAATAAACTTTTTCAATAATGGGTAAATCATGCAGAGTTAAACAAAGTACTCAAGGTAAAAAATCCAGAAGATTTCATGGAAATAGGTATACCAAAAATTTGACAAACAATTCAACTTTATCAGTAGCTCCTGTTAATAACAATGTTACCTGTTCTGAAAATGACCTTATTTTCAATAATAGTTCATTAGATTTATCTATATCCTAGAAAAAAGTTGAAAAAATTGAAACACCACATCAAAGTAATAATAAAACTGTTGGTTATCGTATTATTGACATTGAAATTTTATCTGGTGTAATAAGTCAATTATGTTGCAAAAATTGTTTACAATCTGGATTATTTCTTGAAGTATGTTTTCCTAAAAAAAAAGGTTTTAGCTCGATGTTGAATATATGCTGCCCTAATTGCAACAAAAAAATTGAATTTTATACTTCAAAGACATGCTCTGGGAAGAAAAATTTTGATGTAAATAATAGAATAATTTATTCTATGCGTGCATGTGGTCAAGGTTATTCAGGATTAGAAAAATTTACTTCTTTAATGAACATTCCTACACCAATGATTTAGAACAATTACAACAAAATAATTAAACATGTCTCTGATTGTGCTAAAGTTGTTGAAACAATGTCTGACGCTGTTAAAGATATTTGTCAATCTTCTTCAAATATTGTTGATACTGCAGTATCAGTTGATGGTAGCTGGCAACGTCGTGGATTTTCCTCATTAAATGGAGTGGTTACTGCTATATCAATGGACACAGGTAAAATTCTTGATTGTGAACCAATGAGTCAATCATGTAAAGCATGTAGTTTAAAACTAAAACTTAAAGAAAATAACCCAAATGCCTTTGAAGCTTGAAAATCATCACATGTATGTAAACTAAATTATCGTGGCTCTGCTCCTGGAATGGAAGTAACTGGTGCTCAAAGAATATTTAGCCGTTCTATTTCACAAAATAAACTGAGGTATGTAAAGTATTATGGTGACGGTGATTGTAAAAGCTATTCGTATGTTAAAGATACTTATCCTGGTATAACAGTGTGTAAGTTGAAGTGTGTTGGACATGTACAGAAACGTGTTGGTAGCAGATTGCGAATTTTGAAAAAAAATGTAAAAGGACTTGGAGGCAAAGGCAAATTAACAAATGCTATAATTGATCGCCTACAAAACTACTATGGAATTGCTGTTAGGCAAAATGCCAATGATTTAGAAGGTATGAAAAAGGCCATACTTGCAACATTGTTTCATGTTGCATCATCAGCTGAAAATAATTGGCATGCTCATTGCCCAGATGGCATCAATAGTTGGTGTCGTTATAAACAGGATAAAGCTAATTTAATGTCTACCTACAAGCCAGGTGCTGGTCTTCTACTCTCAGTTGTCAGTCATCTAAAGCCTATATATATATAGATCTATCTCAAGAAGAACTCTTAAAAAAATGCCTTCATGGTATAACCCAAAACCAGAATGAAAGTTTTAATGGAATGATATGGCAGCGCATACCTAAAACAAAGTATGTTTCATTAACGCAGTTGGAGTAAGGAGTTTATGATGCTGTTTCATATTTTAATATATGCTGTTTCATATTTTAATATTGGAAGAAAAGCAAGCATACTTTTGTTTGAAAAGTTGAATATGATTCCTGGTATTTATACTCTCCAAGGCTGTTCAACCATGAACAAAAAGCGCTTAATTTTTGCAGAATATCAAAATCGGTTTACATCTAAAAAGCGACGAAAAGTTATTCGTGGATGCAAAAAAAAAAGAAAGGATGATGATGCAGAGAATGATCAAAAAGGATGTCTTTATGACCCTGGTTCATGTTCATATAAATAAAAGTTTTTCAATTGAGTATACGAGAGAAAATATTATGAAAATTTATGAATATAATATTCAAACGAGTTTTTCTCAAAATGTAAATTTTTGACCTCCCGGCCATCCTATCTCATTAACCGTAAGTTAAATTTGTATGAAATTTTCACCAAATGTTTATTGCACCTGGTTGTACAATTGGAACTAAAAGTTTTTTAATGCAATCAAGAGTTTTTGATTTATAGAAGTTTCAAGTTACGAAAAAATCATTTTTTTAGTACGCCATTTTGAAAATTTCATTATAGGTCAAGTACTAAGTTTTTTTAAATAATTTTAGTTAAGTTTGTAGATCAATATGTTATTAACCATATGCCAAAAATTCATAACCTGCATGCTTTCAGTTACTGAGATAGCTTGGCCGGGGTAACTTAAATATTTTTAAATGTCGGCCATTTTGTTTGGTAGCCATGACAATTAATAAATTTATTTTTTATTTTTTTAAATCCTTTTATCTAGTTGTTTCTCAAGATAAAATTGTTTTTTTGTAAAAAACTTTTTTTAATTATTTTTTTTTGAGGGGTCTTATACCTTAAAGAATTGCAAAAATGCCATTACTTTCAGGTTTTAGACGGAAACATTGTAGGGGAGCAACTTTCGCCGAATATTGCATAATATCAAAGGAATAGAAACGTCTAGACATTTGGCAGTGACCAGGTAACTTAAAAATCACCTTAATAAGCTGTGCAAACAAATTTTATCATTTCTAAATAAAAGCTATAAATATAATATTAGATTTGTTTTGTATTTTAATTTAATTATAATAAAAATTCGCAAGTTGCGTAGCATGGTTTTTTAAAACTTTTTTTTTTTTTTTACCTGCAACTGTTATTATATAGAAAGTCTTACTTATTTTTTTCAATACTTTTTAGTTTTCTAGGGTTATGTTTCGTGACCTTTTTTGCGCAACTTAGCTCGGAAGGTTTATTCAATTTATCCTTAACTACAGTTCGATCAAAAATAACAGCTTACACGTTCAAAGAACTTCTAGTTGTTGCTTTTTAAATTATTTTAGTTGTTCAATTATTGTCCAAATAGTTGATGCTCTTAAAGCTCTGAAGATCAAAGTTCCAAAGTAAATGCAAGTAAAATGAATGTATTTATAAACATCCTTAAGATAAAAACATTTATATAATAAGGTTGTGAACAGACAAAAATATCAAGAGTACATTTAAAAGGAAATCATATTCCCTACCCCCTAGCCCCAACATTTTAAAAATTCAGAGTACTCAAGCTCCTAAAGCCCCCTCCCCCTTTTTCCACCACGGGGTCCAGGTATCTTTTAATGTAAAATCATCTTTATAAACTTTATAAATAAATTTTATTGTTTCTAAATACAAGCTGTAAATATAGTTTTAGTTTTGTTTTGAGTTTTAATTTGAATTATAATAAAAATTCGCATGTTGCGTAGCTGACCGCATGGTTTTTTGAATTTTTTTTTTTTTGACGTGTAATTATTATTATATTTAGAATTTTTTATAAATATAACTTAATAAAATAACTGTTTTTAAAGAAAAAAAAGTTTTTATAAAACCATAAATAATAGATTCGGAGAAAAAATAATTCAAACTTTAAATTAAAAAAAAGCTTTTTTGCGTAGCTGACCGCTGTCTTTTAGTTCTACTTTACTCAAATTTTCTTCTTATCCTTTTTTTTGAATAATAATAAAAAAGGATAATTTGAGTGTAAACTTAAAAAAAAAATTAAAAATTATAATATAAGAGCCAGTAAAATTGTTAAAAACATGTTGCTCTAATTGCGTAGCTGACCATAGAACTCTACATTTGTTGTCTGATATTGTTTGATTCAGTTTAAGTCCTACTTTATTTATTTGAAAAAAATAAATTTAAAATTCAAAAAAAGAGCAAAATTATTTAACTTTAACTTCAATTTTGTATGAAATTGTGGATATCTATGTAGACTCTCTAAAATATGAAATTTTCTGTAATAATAAATCTTTTTAAAAGTTATGTAACTTAAAGAATACTTATGAACAAACGTTCTTCATAAACGAAGATAAAAACTTTATTGTTTGATTTGTTGAGATTTTTTTACTCTTAAAATTCTAAATTTTAAATAATATAAAATTAGCATATCACATTTAAAGAGTTTTTGTTAATAAGAAAACAGCTTGAAAAATTATTAAAACCACTACAGCAAATATTGGTGCCGTCAAAATATAGAAAAACATTTATTAAAAAAAAAATAAGCAAGAAAAACAAGCTGTAACCGCGCATGCGTAAAATGCAAGAAAAGCAACAAACAAACAAATAAAAAAAAATTGCCAATAAATTATAAAAATCTACATCGGTAGAAGACCTTCGTCGATTTCGCGATCATTAGACTCGATATCCAACGCGTTAGTCATACCCTATAACATATAAAATAATCGTATTGTCTGCAAAATTAATTGTGCATGTTTTAATAAGTTTTGAACATACTTTATATGCGCTGACTTCCTCTTGCCTTCTGCAAACAAAATCGCATCCGTCCTAAAAAAATATATATATTAATAAAAATAAATACAGTAATATTATATTTTATACAACCATAGTTTTTTTTTTAAACATCTTCGCTTCCAACAAGGTTGCAAGCAACCACTATTAGAGTTGGAAGTTACTGGAAAAGAAAATAAAAAGATGGTAGAGCAAGATAACGATTAACAGATGACTTAAAAGATTGCAAATTATATGAATCAGAAAGCAAAATGAAGGAAGCGAATTCCAAAGAACTGATGTTGGAGGAAAAAAAACTAGACGAGTAAGAGCCTTTGGAGCATTTAGGAACAGTCAGAGAAAAAGGATGAGACTTAATTGAATGACGAGTAATACGAGAATGAATTTTAGTAGATAGCACTAGAGACGCTAGCTTTTTAGAGCAGTGTCCATTATAGTATTTATAAAAAAGAGAAAGAAAAGCAATATTACGACGATGTGATAAAGGTTGGAGGTTGGAAGCAAGAGCAAATCTAAGTATGTTTACGATGCGTTTTTGCACCATGTCTAAAAGAGAAAGGGCATCATTAGAGGATCCGCTACAGATATGGTAACAGTATTCCATACAAGGCTGGATTAAGGATTTACAGAGATAGACAATAGAATCCAGAGTAAGAAAGTATCGAGCTCGATAAAAAGATGCAACCTTAGCAGATGCTAAGTTTGCAATCTATTTGATATACGGTTTCCATAAAAAAATCAAAAGTAAGAGTTAATTTTAGAAGATAAAGGGTAGATGACTTATAGAGTACATTACTGTTCATAAATATAGGAAGATCTAAATTATTGCGATAACTGAAAAAAGTTGACTTTTATCGAGCTCAAATACCCCCTCCAAGCATCAGAGAGTGTTGGCTTCTTATCATGACAAGAATAAATGGTAGTATCATCAGCGAACAATGCCACCTTAGATGTGAGAATATCTGGAAGATCGTTAATGTAAATTAAAAAGAGCATAAGGCCGAGGAGTAAACTCGAGAAACCCCTGATGTTACAGAATAAGAAGAAGAGTGCTGTCCATCCAGGACAACTTTTATACTACGATTGGAAATGAAGGATTCAATTATCTTAAAGATGTTACCAGTTACACCGTAAAAAGAAAGCTTATGGAGAAGACCAGCACGCCAAACTTTATCAAAAGCATTAAAAATGTCAAGAGCAATGGCCTTAACCTCTCCACCTTTATCTAATGCCCGATAAAACCTTTCGGTTATTACTGTTAGCAAATCAGCTGTAGAACGAGAAGATTGAAATTCATATTGATGATCAGATCAAGTAAGTTATTAGATTCAAGATGAGAGATTAAGTGTTTGTTATTTAAAGATTCAAAAACCTTGCTTATGATAGGACTTATGAAGACTAATGGGGCGGTAGTTAGACGAGTCAGATTGGTCTCCAAAATTTTTGAAAATAGGAATAACAGATTCCGCTTTCCAGCAGGATAGAAAACAATACTCTGATAAGCACTTATCAAATAGTTTTAAAAGAATAGACTACAGCTCATGAGAGATATTATCTAGCAGTAATAAACAGACGCATGTTTCCTGGAAAATTGTTTGCTAATATATATGAAAGTAACGATTTTGATTGGAAACTGCAGCATCACAATGTGAGGAAAACCATGAAGAAGACTGAGGCTTGACCTGGAATCAAAGATTCCATGCCAGCCTGAATCCATGAAGATGTGCTTCTTATGTAAGAAGTACATTTGTTAGCAGGAAGATGAAAGATTTCAACCCAAGGGCCATCACAAAAAAAATCACGAAAAAAGCCCCAGTCAGCTTTAAGGTAGTTGTAAAAGGTATGAAGATAGTCGAGTAGAGAAGGTAAATGATTCGTATTGTCTTTAAAGAGAGTTGGAAAGTTGACTATTTGAGTTAGGGATTGAGAAAGGCAAAAGTTGTGGGCTTTAACGTCTGCAGAGTCAGTGATACTAGAGCCATGTTATTCAGTGTGATGAGCAAAAGTAAAGTCACCAACATCAACAATATTGGTAGATGGATAAAGAGGGAGGGCTTGTCAATTTGATCAGATAACATCAAAAAGAGTGAAGTCTTGAGATGAAGGAGAGCGATATAGAACAAAGAGAATCAATCTTCAATCGAGTGAAGTGGTGCTAAATGAAAGTACATAAAAGAATAGTCTATGGATTCAAACCTAGTTTTCCGACAAATGGGTGAATTTTTATGAATGTAAATGCCCAGGTCAAGCATATAAAAGCATAGACCGTACTCAGTACACTGTTAAATAACCCAGGCAATTGCCTCATTACTAATAATAAACCCTAATCCAAATGTGGTTTTGACAATACACACCAAAAGTACAAACAGGAGCACCACATGTTGATAGAATCAGTCTCTCTGAGAGCTACCACAGAGTTTGGGAAGCTTGACTACCAGCTAGCCTCAGAACCATAAAACTGAGTTTTAGGGCTGAAGATCCATAGTTATAAAAAAGATATTGTTTGAAAGCTAACAATAGCGCATTGTTTTAACTCTTTTATACTGCTTTTTCTTGTTACCAGACTTCTGAACCTGCACAGTAAGTGTTTTTGTTAACATTTGCCTATTAGTCTATCAAGTTGCTTTCGTGTTTTCATTAAAATTGTTTTTCTTGATATGCCTTGTGAAAATTGTGCAATATTTGGTTGTTCAACTTCAAAAAGACACAAAGGTATCAGCATTTTTAAAATACCTACCCCAACTGATGATGCAAATAAAAAAAGTAGTAATGACCTTATTAACATAATTATTTGATACAGACTTATTGATGGTTTTATGAAAAAACGAATTATTTCAATCTATATATTTGCGAACTCCACTTTACCAAAGATTTATTATTTATATTGAAATTCTTTGTCAAGGTATTGATGTAAAAAAATTTAGACCTAATCAACCAGAATTTTAAATTTGGAAAACATGTAAATACCTAAAAAATTGAATTATTTAAACTTAGTTTTAAATAATTAAAAAATTTAATGACTTTCTTGATTTAAACCAAGTTTAAATCAAGATGAGTTTTATTGTTCACTTCATGCCATTCTGTGCATCTTGAAACCACTTACGAAATAATAATTTAAAAAAAACTTTAAATCAACAAAGCTGTATGCTCCTTTTAGATTCACAGAACGAATTAAGTTTGCAACAACAGACAGCTGGAAAATTGCATAGAAGATATAAAAACAGTTTTAAATAAAGAAAATGAAAAAGTGAACTTAGAACTTGACCAAGACCTAAAAACACTGTATTCTAGTTTTAACCAGAAAAATCAGACTTCATGAAGTTATTTTGGAATGAGAAGCAAAATTATATTAAAGTTTCTAGTCTTTGTAGTGTTAAGTACAACCCAATAATAAAATTTTGTCTTAATTTAGCAGAAAAATAATTGTCAGCATATTCTGATTTGCATTTTGACAGAAAAACTGGCTCAGAATTTTTATTTCTTCCAAGTTTATGCCCCTTAAGAGACTACAAAAATTATAGACATCCTTTAATAGGTTTTAATCCTCAAGTCATAAATGATCTTGCAAATAAAACTGTTGATTTCTCCAGCACCGAATGTTTTGTTACTATTCTGTTTGATGAAATGAAAGTTCAAGAAGATTTACTTTGGGATAAATACTCCAATGAGTTTATTGGATTTGTAGATTTAGGAGATATTCAAATTATGCAATACTAAAAAATGTGAAAGAGCATCTTATCTCTTAGTATTTTACGTTAAAAGTCACTTTCCTATAGTCTAGCTACATTTGCCACAACTGAAATGACAATATCACAACTTATGCCAATATTTTGGAAAGCAGTTCCTTATTAAGAAAGTATAAATTTATAAGCCATTGTTGCAACTGCAGATGGTGCATCTCCAAATAGAAAGTTCTTTAAAATGTATATGAAATTAGATGGTGGTTCAGGGAAAGACATTATATATAACACTAAAAACTTGTTTAGTAATGATAATAGATTCATTTATTTCTTTGCAAATATACCACAACAACCAAAACTTCTCAAAATTGCTTAGGTAATTCTGGTTCTGAATGTAATTCACACTATATGTGGAATAGTGGATTTTTTATTATTTCATATTTCTAAATTTTATAATTTAGTCATACTTCTAAGTTTTTTAATTTCGATTTAAAAAGAGGTTTAAAACTTGTTCCCAAATTAACAAGAAATTATATAAACTTGCCTTCCAAGTATTGAGTGAAATAGTAGGAAATGTTTTAAAACAGCTTGGACCACCAGAATCAGCTGGAACTGCAGAATTTTGTTTAATGATAGATATGTTTTTTGATTGCTTAAATGTAAAAAACAGTATTGAATTTATAACAAAGAGAAAACCATTTTTAATTTAAGGTTTGCTTGGTTAGATAACTTCCTCCTTTACTTTAAATTGTGGAAGGAATTTATAGATTTCTCTAAAAGAATCTGCCAAGATGATCTTGAAAACTACTTTGAAAGGCAGTGTGCAATTTGTTGCAGAAAATATAATTCACCTATTAGAGATTTTGGCTTTAATGACAATACAATCAAGTCACAGTTTTCAGTTCATCCAATTACTGGTAATGTTCAATGTAATGACAGTAGTATTATGGATATTAAAAATATTCTTTTACTAAAAAGAAAAAAAAGGTCATTCAAATTAGAAACCAACATTGAGCTACTACTTCACATTTGATGATAAATTTAAAAAAATAAAATAAAAAGGTTATTTTCATAACCACAAAATTATAAAAAAAAATTATTTGTCATTTATTATGGGATCTATAAAAATTGGTATAAAGGCAATGTGTTTTTCTTCAAAATATCCCTGAATTTGATACAATAATTGGTCTTCCATTAAGTACTCTTGCATGATTAATAGGGGTAGAAATAAAAGGGATGATGAGAATTTTATTCCTGATCTAATAAACAGAAAAGGGGCACTCCTAATAAAAGGATGGGCAAGAATTTTTTACAGAACACTAATAAATTAGAATAGAAATTAATTCTATATGGCTTGCGGTCAAATGCATATTTTTTAACACCTGTTTTATTTTTTTGCTATGGCAAGAAATAAACGAAAACCTATTATTTGTACAAGTGACTGATATATGCATGTGATTTTACCAAAAAAAATATGAATACATACTAAGGGGTTCAAAGATAGCAAGAATGTACATAATTTGTTTCTCAATGTCTTCTAAAGCTTGATTTCTTTTTTTTAACATAAGTATTAAATTTCAAATTTAAAAAATAATTTTGTAACAAAGAAATGTTGAATCAACTCAAAGTTTTTTTGTTTTAATGTTTTAAAATTTATGTTGATGAGTAGATTTTATATAAGTAATCTGTGCATATGCAGAGAGAGGGTTATTTTGTTTAAGTTTCAGAAGGAACCAATCAAGGCAGAAAAACAGAGAATTCTTTGAATTTAAATTTTTTAAATTAAATTTAATCTAATTAATTCAGTTATAAATTATATGAATTGGGGTAAAAGTGAAAATTAGGTACTTGAGGGTCTAAACAAACAGAGGAATTTATGAAAACAACAATAAAATTATAATAACAACATGTTGAACATGCCATAAAGGCTTAATACTAAATTAATACAAATAGCTGCTATTTAGGTTAAGGAATTCAAATTTTTGACTAGTTTTTCTTTATTTTTAAAGCAATGATCAAGTTTAAATTTTTTTTTTTTTAAGTGACGGGATAGCTCAGATGGTTAGAGCGTTAAAGGAAAAGTTAAAACCCAGACTGTTGAACGATACAAGTTCAAATCCCGCTACCGCCAACTCAGCGCTTGAGTAGTACTTCGGTACGCAAAAATGTTAGTCAATAATGGACCCTACTTTGGATTAGTCTTAATGACTATTTGTGGCTGTTCCTATGCTAAGCCAACAATATCTTCGGATATAAGAACATTGTATAGAAAAATATAGCATGAAAACTCAAATAAATAAAAATAAAAAATAAAAAAAATCTTCAAAACAAAATCTTTTTATAAACAAAAATAATAAAAGTTTTTTTTAAACGAAGTTTGAAAATTAAAATCAAATTGCTTTTCATGAACTAAAACTTTTTTTAAATCAAATAAAAATAATAAAAGCAACTTTTAATCAAATACAATATAAATAAAACAGTATAGCATACTATTATATAATACAATAAGCTGCCTTTAAAACTGATTTTGATAAACTGTGACACAACAAAAGACTATTTTAATAAATAATCTTAATCATATTATTAAGTAGTTGCTATGCAACTAATGTTTTAAAAATAAAGTGTGGCTATGAAAATAGCATTTTATGTTCAACAAACTAATAACTTGCTTTCTTAATTTTGCATCGCAATAATCGAGTCTTGCAATCTTTTACATTTTATGTTTTTCATATAATGTGTCTGGCATACAAAAATGAACAAACTCTTACATTAATGTCTCTGTCATAAGGAAATGAACAATCTCTTACAAACAATGTAAATGCTCAAGCAAATTCTTACTTTAGTTGATTCTAGATCATTGGAATCTTGTAATAAAGAGAACTTTGTTGATATGTTTATAAAGAGAAAGTATTTGTTGACATGTTTATAAAGAGAAAATACTTTGTTGACATGTTTATAAAGAGAAAGTACTTTGTTGACATGTTTATAAAGAGAAAGTACTTTGTTGACATGTTTATAAGGAGAAAATACTTTGTTGACATGTTTATAAAGAGAAAGTACTTTGTTGACATGTTTATAAAGAGAAAGTACTTTGTTGACATGTTTATAAAGAGAAAGTACTTTGTTGACATGTTTATAAAGAGAAAGTACTTTGTTGACATGTTTATAAAGAGAAAGTACTTTGTTGACATGTTTATAAAGAGAAAGTACTTTGTTGACATGTTTATAAAGAGAAAGTACTTTGTTGACATGTTTATAAAGAGAAAGTACTTTGTTGACATGTTTATAAAGAGAAAGTACTTTGTTGACATGTTTATAAAGAGAAAGTACTTTGTTGACATGTTTATAAAGAGAAAGTACTTTGTTGACATGTTTATAAAGAGAAAGTACTTTGTTGACATGTTTATAGAGAGAAAGTACTTTGTTGACATGTTTATAAAGAGAAAGTATTTGTTGACATGTTTATAAAGAGAAAGTATTTGTTGACACGAGCCAAACCAGATCTTCAGGATCTAGTTTTGAAAAAACTTGTGTTGTTTTTCTGCAAAAAATATTCTCGCATGTCAGAAATAGATCTTGAATTATATTATACACTTTCCATAAACCTCCTCTATGTCCACAACTCTGCAGCGCAGCAAAATTAAAACACACTGTTGGCTATACTTGGATGAATTTTTACTACTTTGAAATTTAGTTTACAACTTTTGAAAAAAATATCCAACAAGATAATGTAAACTCTTTCTCTCTATAACAGTAATTTCTTGAGTTGTATTTACAGTTTCAACAAAATTTGGTTTTAAACCAGTAAGATTTAGTTTTACACCAGAAAGACATTTCAGTGAGTAGTGTATTACATAAACTTATATCACTGAAGTGTGAATCTAGTAAATTTTCACTCAACAGTCCATGACACTCTTGAAAAAATAAATCATTACTGCTGTTAAATTTTTCTTTTATTGGCTTTAATTTTTTTGAAAGATTTTCAGCATTGTTTATTGATAAATTAAAATTTTCACATGTAAAGTGTTATCTTATATCAAACCGAAGACACATGTCTCTTTCCAATAAACTTGCAAATTCTTGCAACTATGTTTTTCAGTTTTAGTGGGAATATTTTATCTGAAGAACTATATGTATTAATGTTTAAAAAACAATTATCAAAGTTCTCTGATATATGCTTTGATGCAGTGTGTCTATTTAAACGTCTGAATGTCTAGTATACTTTAGGGCACTGATTAAACGCATGTTGCTTGACATTTTCTCTATAGATATTATTTTCAGAAACAATGGAATCTATATCTGTAATTAATTTAATGTCATTGTTTAAAAATCCTTCTTAAACTATTTCAAACAAACATTCCAAATCAACATTTGCCTCGAAATCACAATTAAAACTTGCCATTTTTAAAAACTTTTGCAGGTTCACCAGGTTGTCGTGTAGTTTTCAAGTTAAAATCAAAAAACAATAGAAATGGTCAATGTTTCCAGACTATATATTTTTATGACTATGATACAACATATAAAGTAGGATTATGACATTTAATTAGGCTCAGTTGGTCGTATGAAAAATAGATGAACTTTGGTTTTAAAAGAATTAAAATTAGACCCTGGTGTACCTTATAAGAAAAAAAAAAAATTTGAATCATAAAATCGAGGGTCATGGGGGGAGACATTTTTCAAAAAGTATATAAAATAGGGATGTACCAAAATAAACATTTTAAATTCCGGCCGGAACCACATTTGCCAGATTTGTTACTAAAATTCCGACAGGAACAAGAATTATATTTACGTTATTTTTTACCTTCAAGATTAAAGTAAAAGCCTGCACCTCAGCATCGTGGCTATGTAAATAAAGGTTTATAATCCATAATATATATATATATATATATATATATATATATATATATATATATATATATATATATATATATATATATATATATATATATATATATATATATATATATATATATATATATATATATATATATATATATATATATATATATATATATATATATATATATAAACATAATTCATCAATTTGATTCTAGTTTCATTTAAACCCAATATGCTGTTTTTATTTGTTATTATAATTATATGTCTTAAAAGTTTTAACCTGCATAATACTTATATTTAAAATTATTACTTTTTTTTTATTTTTCCATTTAGGCACACACACATATATTTCAGTTCAAAAATAGATATCAAAAAGCTATATATTGAATTATAGGGTAAATATCATTTTGATTAAAAATATTTAATCGAATCTTTCAAAGTTATATTATATTTTGATGTTTAAAAATTTGATTTAAAATGTTGAAAACTTACAGCAGAGGCATTTCCAATCTTTCTCCAAAAAGCAAAGTTAGGGATCTGTTCAAAACCTTTTGCACCAAGTACAAATCGTTTATAAATAATACCAAATACTAAATATGCAGCAGCAATGCCAATAAATCTATAAATATAAATGAAAATATCTGCATACAATATTATACATAATTTTTAATAAACAATTACAAAAACAAAACAAAAAAGCAACAGTTAAAAGTTGATATTTATAGTTTAAAATCAAATTTATTTTAATAAATAATTAAAAAAAACTAAAAAATTAAAAATAATTTTACTCATAATTATTAAAATTTATTATAAATAACAACTAAAAACTTACATAATGCAAAATATAGCACCTGGGCTTAGTTTGATAGGCTTGACAAAATTTGAACAAGCTCCAGGATGATTATATTCAAAAAGGTAATAACAAGGAGTTTCAGTTAGAAGGACGCCTTTATATCTTCCTTCTTCAACAACCTTAAAAACTGGCTTCTAAATTTAAAAAAAAAAAAAAATTATAAAACTAAATTAATAACCCAGTTAGGAATAAAATTATTTTGGTATTAAAATGATGGGTTACAACTTTACATCATAACTTTATCTCAGAGGATTTTAATTAAAAAAATGAAATTAATTGGAAAATAATGGTTTTTAGCTTAAAAAGTAAAATAAAAAAACTAGTTTATATTTAAACTAAAATTCTTTTTGACAAATTTCAGCTTCAGCCAAATCTATAATAACAAACCTGTTTGTTTGTTTTCTAGAGTTTTTAAATATTGGAACTACTTATTGACTTGAGCATTAGAAGCCAAAGTGATTTGAATGTCTAACAATGAGTTAATCTGTTTAACTCAAATAGCCGGAATGTATAGGCTGGAATAGCAAGAATAGAGTATGGGCAATAGATTCAGCATGGGCAATAGATTTAAGAGTCAAATTGGGCAATAGATAAGAGATTCAAGAACCAAATTGGGCAATAGATAGGAGATTCAAGAGTCAATTCGGGCAATAGATAGGAGAGAGGCAATAGCTTCAAGAGTCATATTGGGCAAAATTTGGTCAACTTTAAATTGAGATTTATCTAAAACCACAAATGCTTTTTATTTCTTTTATTTTTTTAATTAAACATTACTTCCTTATCTTTAATTGTGTTGATAAACTTTTGTTTACAAACCAATGATTTGCAAAATGTTTCGGAATAAATTGATGTGCGATAATAAGTTTTGATTTTTTTTTGCAAAAGTTCATCAACTTCTTATTGCTTGAGTCAGTCATAGATAATATAAATATGTTAAAGACTCAAACCTTCAAAAAAAAACTTGGATGTGGAAGAAAGTAAACTTTCCATAAAACCAAAAAGGTAAAATCAATTTTACGTTCAATAGCAGGAAATCCAAACCAGTCGCAGCGAGATCTAACAAGAAAATTCAAGATTTTGCGTTTTTATATCAAAAAAGTACTTAAAAATGCTGGAACTAAAGGATTTCATAGGAAAAATACATCTAAGAAAAGCTTAAATGGTAAAATTAGAAGAATTCAGCGTGCAAAGAAGTTGGTTAAAATCATGACAGATAAAAGTATGTTTATAATTGAAGACAACGAAACATATTGCAAGGAGAATTTTTCACAACTTCTTGGTCAACAATTTTATTATGAGAACAAAGATAAACCTGTTGATGATCAAATTAAATATATTCGACGAGAAAAATTTGCATTCAAGTTCCTTGTATGGCAACAATTTGTAGCTGTGGTATGCAGTCCTCTTGTTTTATCACTAAGAAGATCTTGAATGCCGATCTCTACATCAAAGACTGCCTTCAAAAAAGAGTTGTCATTTATGAAAAAACACAAATACAGATGTCTAAAATGTTCTATAGTGGTACAAAGATAATAATGTAAAAATTGTTCCTAAAGATGCAAATCCTCCAAATCATCCTGAAGAGCGCAAGATTGAAGATTTTTGGGCAATAGTTAAAGGAGTTCCTGGTAAGACAGGTGGAGTAACAAAAAATAAAAAAGACTTCCAAAAAAAGTGGCTTAATGTCACCAATAAAATAAAAAAATATAAAAAATCTACTAAATGATGGCATCAACCTGCTATAAAAGATACTTTATAAAGTGAGAACAACGGAGCTTAGCATCAGACAGGACCTATTTATATTGACTACATGCAATAATAAAAAGAAACTCGTTCTTAAGAGAGTTCTTGTAAAAATAATGAAAAAAATTATTATGGTTAATATAGAAACTCCCTAATAAAAGCTTCTATATTTGCTTGGATTCAGTAGTTTAAGTAAGAGGCACATTTATGCATATATAACATGGACATGAATGAATAAAAAAATATATATATTTTCTATTTATTTTGGTGATGGCACACAATACCCTTATATACACAACACCCTTTATATAAATTTTAGTATTTATATATATTGTATTATATATAAAGTTTTATGCAAATAACACTGCCTTATTCTGGGAACGTAATTAGATCAGGCCCATGAATTGCAGATGAAATGTTAGACTTACTTTAGTTATGATTCTGTTGAAGATTTTACAAAAGTCTCTAGAACCTAACATCTGAAATAAAATATAAGATTTAGTTAACATAGAATAATGGAGCTTAGTATCAGACAGAACCTTTTTACAATAACTTCTTACAATTATAAAAAGACATTTGATCTCAAGAAAGATATTCTTATAAAAAAGATGAAAAAATAATTACAGATTAATATAGCAATTGAATAAGAAGGTGAAAAATGTGGAGTAAATTGAGGCTATATTTCCATAATAATCAGGAGGTTAGGTAAAAAGCACATTATGCATACATAATATGGATATATACATATATGTTTGCTATTTAGAATGATGCTTGCCTACAATATCTTAACATATTTATATAAACTTCAGAATTTATAAGCAGAAATAAAAAAATATGATCAGATGGATATGTGATAAGACTCTAAAAAGACAAGAAAAGAAGTCATAATCTTAGACAGGAATTAGAAGAAATGTATCGACCAACGTTAGTCAAAAAAGATTTAAGTCGTTTGGGTATCAGAATGTAGAGAGGTAGCAACTTCAGGAGAAAACAGTAGATGTTGAAGTAAGAAAACCTGGAGAGAAGCTAGGATGTATATATAGGATAGGGGTAAAGCAACATCGTAAGATGCTACTTTACCCCTAGAATGTATACAAGCTAGGATGTATATATAGGATAGGGGTAGAATGTATATATAGCTAGGATGTATATATAGGATAGGGGTAGAATGTATATATATCCTATATATACATCCTAGCTTTACAAGCTAGGATGTATATATAGGATAGGGGTAGAATGTATATATATCCTATATATACATCCTAGCTTTACAAGCTAGGATGTATATATAGGATAAGGGTAGAATGTATATATAGGATAAGAGTAGGATATAGAATATATAGATAGAAATATGATGACTATTGCACAATTTTTTTTTTTTAATCAATTTTTTTGTGCAACTTTTTGAAAAAAATATTAATAAAATTTAAAAATATTTTATTTTTTTTATTTTTAATTAATTTCACTTTTCAATAATTTAAATAAAATTTGTTCATTTATTAAATAATCATTAGAAGTATTTTAGGGTGGCCACTCAAATTTTAGGGTGGCCACTCAAATTTTAAAATGAAATTCCATGACTTTTCCATAACTCTTCATAAACTTTTATGATAAACCACTAACCAGTAAATTATTCAGTATTTGCCATGCATTAAGCAGGCTTGGTCTGGAAGCGGGAGCGATAATATTTAGTTGCGAAAATCTGGCCAGGTTTTTTAGTTGTTTTGTAAACATTTATGTTTATTTACATAACAAAAAATTTTGATTTTAGGGACATACATGGAAACATAATAAACTTGAATGTTCTCAAAATATCTTGGTGCGGAAGAATAAAAAGAATATTCGCGAACACTAAAAACCCGCCAAATTAATGAACAAACTAATTCTATTAATTCAAAAAATACGCTGATTAAGCGTATAGAGTATTTTGTTGAAATGTTTTAGAAGTTAATTTTAAAAAGTATGTATTTTTGATGTAAATGTAATTTTGTGTATCTGTTTTTTATCGTAATGTAATTTAACAAATTAAATCATAAAAATTGCTTTTAAAGCAATTTTTATAATTTAATTTGTAAACAAAGACTAACAAAAATAATTGCATTTTCAATGAAGTTATTAATAATCATTAAAGTTAATAAAACTAATTATGTAACAAACATATAAGAAGTTTCTGGTTACTAAACACAAGTAATGCATACAAAGTAAATCAAATATATATATATAAAAATTATTAGATATAAATTAGAGTTTCTAAATAATGGTTTACTAACTCTAATTATTTGCGCTTCAGTTGCCATTCTTAAAAAGTCGTTATACTTTTTTCTGCTTTAAATACTAATTAAAATTACAAAACCCACTCACTAAACATCATCAGCAATATTGTGAAGCAGTTTCGCTTCCTCATCATAAAGTATTTTTAACCTTTTCAGTTGGATTCTATCTAATTTATTTAACTTCTATAGGAATTCAATAATTTAATTATTTCATTTGTTTATCATACTAAGAAGAATTTTTTCAAATATGTTAAACTTTTCAAACTATACAAAGCATAAAATAGGTATTAAAAAAACAACTTTTTTATTTATAAAATAATTTAGCTTGATAAATCTAAAACTCGCACTAGTTTTATTAGAATCTTGTTAGACTTTTCGGGGCCAGGGGCTATTTTTATTTTGAATGCCTTTGAATGCGCTACAGCGTAAAAATGACTCAACAAAAAGGTCTTTTTGACTTTTTTTGGGCCCTAACAATGCGGGGTCTAGGGCTATAATCCCTTCTAAACCCAACCCTCCTTAAAGGCTTTTTGAAATGTTGTCAAAACGACTAAAAAATCTGGCCAGCTTTTCGCAACTAAATATTATTTCAGTGGTGAGCAATCGAGAGCGATCGCTCCCGCTACCCGGCCAAGCCTGATTAAGCATTTGGTAGAAAGTTCTAAAATGTCTGAAAAAAACTCCTTTTCTTTTACTTCTCTAATAACTTACACTGCAAAAATATCTTATCAAAAAGGACTTGGACTAGACATACTAGTACTTTTTTTTACATACTAAAAATATTACAAGCAGAAAAAAATAAAGATCATTTTTAAAAATTCCATAAATTTTTCATGAATTATTTGCTAACTGATTACCTTTTTCAGTTTATTCTAATAACATTTGGAATACTGAAATAGACTCAGCAAAATTTCTATCATGCAGTTATTGCAGATTTTATGCGCATTTATAAAATTAACCACAAAAATTTTCTTTATTAGACCTATCACAAACAAATGCATTTATGACAATTTTATGTGTTTCTAAAACAATTGAAACTAAATTTTCTAGAATGTTTTTAAAATTGGTATATATATAGGCGAAATTTCCATAGTTCCATTAGTTTGTTTTGAACACTC